AGAGGGGATGGTCACACCGCAAACCCTTCTCCTCCATTCTCCTCTCGGGATCTTGGGCATGCACGCACACGCACCCGGCGTGAGTGTTAAGCCACCGGGTCCAGGACGCGAACCGCGGTCGACTACGTGGGAGTCCAGCGACATAACCATTACGCCAACCGCTGGTTCCCTTCAATTCTAAGTCTTAAAATAAGTGCTTTGCTGTAGTTTTATAAAAAGACCATTTTATTTCCTTTAAGAATATCCTGCGGGGAGACCAACAGATGGCATAATAGTTGCATCACTGGACTCCCATGTAGTCAACTGCAGTTCAAGTCCCAGACGGTGGTGTGGCCATCCCCCCTGGGGGGTGATTTCTCACTTTCTGTCTCTCTGTCTCTCTCTGTCTTTCTGGTGAGCGCACTCACCCTATAGCAAAAACCTCTCAAAAAAAAGAAAAGAAAAGAAAAGAAAAGAAAAGAAAAGAAAAGAAAAGAAAAACTGCCTTTCTGACTTACCCTCTTATACTCCAAGCCATCGAGTGTTCCTATCTTTGGTCTTTCGGAAGATTATAGGGCTATTTAGTAGATTGTTTTTTCCAAAAGGACGATTCTTGGATGAAATGCGTATGCGTCCCCGTGTTTCCGAGTGCACCCACGGAGTCCCGAAGGTAACACACTGCTGTTTTGCAGGGTGAGAAATCATACTACATCAGTGAAGTGGGAGCCCATTTGACGGTTTCGAGTCCAGGTGAGTACTCAGAGAATGGCTGTTCTACCAGCAATAGCTTTGTCTCTGGTCAGCTCGTTTCCATCCCATTAAACATGTCATAGGGCCAGCTGGTGGTGTGCTGTTTACAGGGGCCAGGTCCCATGTGGTTGACTGTGCAGTTCGAGTCCTGGACCCAGCAGCCTGAAAACCACAGTGGTGCATGTGTGTGTGCTTACATGCCCAAAACCCTCAGAGGAGGATGGAAGAGGAGGGGTCATGGCATGGCCATCCCCTCTGGAGGGGGATTTCTCACTTCCTCCCCACCCCATCTCTTTCCAGCAGGTGCACATGCCCCATAGCAAAATGTAAAAAATAATAAAATCTGTTCATCTTTGATACTGTTTGAGTTTTTTTAAAGACAGGAATCTCACTGTCACACTCCTGTCTCAACTGCTTGCTGGGGCTGTAGGGACACGCCACTATGCCTGGCCCTTTGGTTATTAAGGTGTTCGTCCCAGGGCATGTGCACTTGGCAGAGAGAGAAGGAAAACAAGAAAGGACACCACGATCCTTTCTCCTCCATTCTCCTCCTGGAATTCTGGGCACGCACACATACACACCGGCTGATTGTTTCCAGTCAGCCATGAGGGAGTCCATCACCTTAACCACCAGGCCACCTGTTGGCCCCAGGCCTGGCTCTTTGTAGGACAAGCTCTTGCCCAGTGGGCAGGCTGGCTTCGAGCTCATGAGCCTCCTGCCCTAGCCTCCCCACATTGCCGAGACTGTAGGCATGGCTCCACACCTGGCCTTTAGGTTGGACCAGCGATCAAACCTCCTGCTGAGCCACGCCTCCCACGTGGCCCCAGCCTGGAACACAGGGTCCGGCAGAACCTGCCACAGCGAGGCCCTGATGCTGCTTCCGGAAGACCGGCTGAGAACGCGCCCGTGATTTAACTCCTGGGAGCTCTCTGGGCTTCATGTGCCCGTGTTCCATCTGCTCATGCAGGAGTCTGGACCAGATTATGTCAGAGATCACTACCACAAGGAAGAGTGTGGTCGGATGTGCTGTCAGCAGTGCGCTTTATCCTGGCATCCACCCGAGCTGCAGCTAGGTGCCAAGTGCAGTCTGCATGGGGCACGGGGTCCGTATTATCTGAACCGAGAGTTCCTGCCCTGTGGAGCTTTCACTGTCCAAGGGGAGAGGATGACAGACGAGATGTACCGTCAGAGCGCACTATGAGTAGGGGTGAATTCTGTGAGCAAACACAGGCAGGGGAGTGGAGAGGAGTGGAAGGTGACTTCAGGTAAGGACGTATGCTGACAGCAGGAAGAGGTGAGGTCTGAGCAGAGACATCTCCACTTAGGGAGGCTCTGTCCAGGTGACAGGGACAGCAGAGGCACAGGCTCCTAAGAGGGACTGTGCCCAAGATGGGCGAGTAAGTGCGGACTGAGTGGCTGCCAGGCCAGAGCGTGCAGGGCCTGTGAGCAGGCGAGGCGAGGACCTCGGGTTGTATTTCAGTGGGAGAGGATGCCACTGCGGAGCCTGGTGTAGGG